TGAAGTCTGGAAATTTCTTCCCACAAAAGTCTGCTGTGGGACATTTGTGTAGGGTCTTGTTCAGGGCTATGCAGTTGATGTTACCATGAGGTTTCTGGTGGGACTCTGGCCTTCCACACTCTTGAAGGCAGCCAACAATATTCCTTTCAGTGATACGGAGCATCCTCCATCGAGAAACAGTTGAAACTTACCCCAGTCCCACTCCTGGTTCCAGTGAAAACAGCGCGGAAGCTCACTCCCGTTAGCCCATTTCTCTAGGTGAGCCCTACCAGATCCATTGCCAAGGTGAGGCTCAGGAACTGCCTGGAGGTTCTCAGCTGAACGTCTGCCAGAGCCAGACCCTGAAACAATCGATGGGTTAGAAATCTGCATCAACTAAATGCAGGCATTCCTGGCCCCTGTGGGTGCTACACTCCTGGGTGCTTTTGCACTTGGTAGGGGCAGGAGGGGGAGCCTTTTGGCCTATCAGAGGCCTTAGGCTTTTGGCTCACCTCTAGCCTGGTTTATTTCTACCAAAACCAGACGAGTTGTCTTATGGCTGTTTGGATTTCAGTCTGGGCTCCTCCAGTGACAGCAACTGCTGTCATCAATGCTGTTTTTCCAGAGATTTCTCATTCATTCATTCATAAAACAATAGGGAACATTTTGGACAGTATCCTGTCCTCATGGAATTATGGTTTGGTAGGGATGGCTGGACATTCATCAAACAGTCACTCAAATAAGTATAAAATTACAACTGTGATAAGTGTTATGAAAAAAAGGAATTAGGGCTCATGAAATACAGTGAAGGTGGGACTTGCCATTGTTTGGAAGCCAAAAAATAATAACCTCAGTGTGAACAGAGCTTGGTGAGTCAGTGGGTGGGGGGTGGGGAGGTGGGGGCCATAGGGGCTGGGGAGGAGATGTGCCCAGCTCAGCCAGTGTCTGGGTGCAGTCAGTAGGAAGTACACGGAAAGGTAAGTATGGAGACTTCTACAGGTTCCATGGGATGTGTTAGGAGTTTTGGTCTTTTTCCTGAGAGCAATGGGTGACTGTTGAAGGCTTTTTAATGAGGAGGCAAGAAGATTAGATTTTTGCTTCAGAAACCTCACTTGGGCTCCAGTGTAAAGACCGAATTGGAGGTGGGCAAGAGTAGAATTGTCAGATAGAACACAGGACGCCTAGTTAAATTTCAATTTCAGATAAACAATGCATACTTTTTTAGTATATGTATGTCCCAAATACCACATGGGACATAATTGTATTAAAAATTTATTGTTTTAACTGTGTTTTTAAAAAGTTTTAAATAGGTTGCAAATATTGCATGGGACCTAATTATGCTAAAGATTGTTCATTGTTTATCTGAAATTCACATTTAATTTGGCATCTTGTGTTTTTATTTGTTAAATCTGGCAACCCTTAGCAAGAGAAAATGTGGAGAAACTGGTTATAGACCAGTTATTGTTGTAAACTACTAAAAGATGCTTAGGTTAGGGTAGCAGAGGTGGAGATGGAGAGGGGTGGACAGAGAAGGAATAGTCCTGGTTGGTCCAAATCTGCCATTCAAAGGCATCTGGAAGACAGAATCCATCAGCTTCCCTCCTACTCTGAAACTAATTTCCGCACACATGCCATTTAAAGCATGTGGGTATGGTATGGTGAACTGCATAGTCTCAGTGCAGGTCAGGTGTCTGGTCAGAACCTGCACTGAATGGCCTATAAGAGGTGTTCTGTGACAGTGTGAGGTGGTCTTATTTCTGTCTCCATCCCTCCAGGCCAGAGACACCTGAGAGGTGAGTTCTGTGCATTGCAGTGACTGATCTGTGTGAAGGAGAGATTTGGTAGAAAGGTCAAGACCTTTACGACAATAGAGGCAATATTGTAAGTTGTACACTGTTTTTCCCCATGACAACTCACATTTTAGCAAATTAAACAGTAGAGTAAAGCAGTCAAGAGCATGGACTTCGCGAGGGGCTTTAAACCCCGTTGGTTATTAGCTTGTCTAGACTATCTGTGTGATCTTGGCTGAGATACTTAACTCTCTTGGCTTTGCGACATATTTTAAGATTAGCACTAAAGTACCTTGAAAGCCAGGCCCACAGGAGATACTTAGTAAATGGTACATGCTACTAGAATCAACAATCTCCTTGTTTCAGAAGGCAGGCTTACTCTTTGTCTTCTTACACAACTCACTTGATCATCTTCTTAATTCACAGCTCTGGTTTTGTCGCTGTTCACACTCTTCACTGTCTTCCACTGCCTTGTGTAGCAGATCTCCATGCACTCATCTCAGTTTGCCTCGACTGAGTTTGCATGGAAGTCTGCTGCAGAAGGCAACGCAATATTGTTGCACCTGAAGATTGTCACTATTGCCCATCAGAACCCCTTTGTCCAAGCAAACCAGCTCATGTAACCCTCCTTAAACCCAGCTTGAACATCTCCGCTTTTTTGTTTGCCTAGAATGTCTTTGCCTGTATCTGTTCAAGCCTTATTAATCAAAAGTATTTATAAGTGAATGTTAACAGAAATATGAACAAAACAAGATATAAAACATACATAGGAAATGAAATAAATGCCTGTCACTAGGGAAATGGCTAAACAAATTACTATTCATGTCTACTGTGTAATACTATGCATCCATTACAATAGCTGTATGCAGACTGTCCTGGAAAGATATCTATGATATAATGCTAAATAAAAACAGCGAATTATAGAGGAATATGTGAAGTAGGGTCACAGTTGCTTAGGAAGGAACCTAGTTCTATCTATACGGAAAGATAGGAATTAAATATATTCCCAACCGTTAAGCGAGGTTCCCTTTGGAGAAGAGGGTGGGAATTGGGTTGGAAGTCAAAGGAAACTCCTAACATTTAGTTAATATACTTTAATGGTTTAAGCTTGTTCATTTACCTGAACTGTGTTCATTTTGTAATTGAAATTAAATCAAAATGCATAGAAAAAGGTTTAGAAGAACGAAATAAACTGTGGTTATGTTTCAGTTGTTAGACTGGGGAGGCTCTTGCCCTGTCCTTACTTATCATTGTTTTATTAAAGAACAAAATGGTAACGGAAGAAGATTACCCTTCTGCTAAATCCAACTGAAATGCTACTCCCTCAGAGAAACATTTTTCTAATTCCTCAACTGAATGTGCTGCCTCCTTTCTTTGAACCCTCAAAGTACTTTATGTATCTTTTGTGGCATTTTCTCATTCTATCTTAGTGAGCGTTTCAGGTACCCAAGTATGAAGACAAGTATTTCATACTGGTCTTACTGCCCCTCTACACTGAAGTGATGTGAAGCTATCACGGTAGAGAAGGAAATAGGATTTCGAGTCAGAGGGTCTGGATGTTGCCTCTTGTTCTAGATGTCCGTTGCAGCCTGACAGATTAGCCCACACTTAGTAGCTTAAAACAACAGCCATTTTATGTTATCTCATGATTTTTTTGGTCAGGAACTTGGGCAGAGCTGGGCTGGGTGATTATTCTGCTTCATGTGGTGTCAACTGGGGTCACTTGGTGGTAGCCAGCTTAGAGGTGGGCTGGACAGGAGGGTTCAGGAAGGCTTTAGTGGTATGCCTGCTGCTTGGCAGGGCAACTGGAAGACTGGGCTCAGCTGAGTGCCTTTCCCTCACTGGGTATTCTCAGGACATCTTGTAGACTTCTTATGGTGTGATTCAGGGCTTCAAGGGATAAGGCAGACCAAGGTTGAGGCTGCCTATCTTCTAAAGCAGTGGTCCCCAAACCTTTTTGGCACCAGGAACTGGTTTTATGGAAGACAATATTTCCATGGACCATGGGTAGAGGGGGTGGTGGCAGGGATGGTTTCAGGATGAAACTGTTCCACTTCAGATCATCAGGCATTAGATTTTCATAAAGAACACAACACACAACCTGGATCCCTCACATGTGCAGTTCACAATAGGGTTCATGCTCCCATGATAATCTAATCCCACCTCTGATCTCACAAGAGGCAGAGCTCAGGCAGTAATGCTTGCTCACCCACCACTCACCTCCTGTTGTGTGGTCCGGTTCCTAACAGGCCTTGGACCAGTACCAGTCAGTTTGTGGCCTGGGGATTGGGGACCCCTGTTCTAAAGGATAGAACTAGCATAGTGTCATGCCTGCTATACTCCACTGGTTAAACATCCACAGAACAAATGCAGATGCAAGGCGGGTGGGAACAGAGATGCTACCTCCTAAAAGAATTTGTGTAAAAAATGTGTGGCCATCATCAATTTGTCACAGCTTTGCTGTGAGAAATACAACCTTTGTGTCTCAGTGACTCCATTTGCAAATTATAAAGATCCAAAGCTATAATGTATGCAAAGCATGCTATGCATTATAAAAAAACTGTATGCACTATAAATATTAACATTTACCTTGGTATTAAATCTATGCCTTACTCAAGGCAGGTACTCATTAAATGTTCAATACTTTGAAAGCAAACTCATTTAAACACAGATATTTCCTAAGAAAAACACAAAGAATGTGATGCTGCATGATCACATAGAAGCGTGGCTCGGTTTTAGAGTATAGACTTTGGATTAGGTTGACACGAGTTAAATCCAAGCTCTGTCACCCAGTTCCTATCTATGTGGCCTTTGTTAATTTGCCTCACCTCTCTGAGCCTTAATTGTCTCATCATAATATGGAAATAGTATTACCCAGCAGCGTTGCTATAAGCATTGGAGCTAATTTGTGTCAAGCACCTAGTAGGGTCACATAGTAGGTGCAGTTTCTCTAAGATGATATTGAGTCATATAGAAAGTTTGGACTCCTCACTTAATTCCTCTGCACTGCTCACCTCCACGAGCTCAAAGGATTGAGAGGAGTCCAGAGTGCAGGTCCTTGCGAAAGCGTTGGGGAAAAGGGGAAGGCCCTCCTTCTTGTTTCTCCAACTCTCTTCCTCTCTCCAATGTTCAACTCTAGGAATCTGTGTCCATGCAGCTTTTTTTGTGTGAATCTATTCCTCTCTGCTGGAACTGGCCCCCTTTTCAGACCTGTGGCTCTTCCTTTCATAGATGTACGAGATCAAAGCAGGAGGCAGCATTGCAAAGAAGTTCAGCGCAGCTCTGCAGAAGCTGAGCTCGCCCCTGCAGCCCCGAGTTCCAGAACACAGCAACAACAAGATGAAAAACCTGTCCTACCCATTCTCCAGGGAGAAGATGTACCTGTGAGTATTGAAGCTGCTGGAGCAGGGATGTGGGAAGGGATGGGAAGGAAAATTGAACACTGTTCCATGACTCAGCCCTGGGGCTCCCAAAGTGGGTGCCCCAATGCCTGGGGGAGAGAGTAGGAAGCATGTTCTCACGGTGACATTGTCCCTGTGCCTGCTTTGTGAACCCCCTCCCCATGTGAGATTATCCCAAACAGCTGAGGGTGCTTGTCCAGCAGGAAATCCGCTGTTTGACCATTTTGCAGGGTGATGGGCAAACCAGGGAGCAGCCAACAATAAACTTTGGAACTCTGTGAGAAAGTGGTCAGACACCTGTGTATCTTCTGTAGGAAAACCTTCTTCCTAATTGCCAGTCTAATAGGGTTTCAACAGGATATGATAAACCGGAGAGAAGGTGGATGAAGCCTCTGGGTTTCTGGATTCCAGCTGCTTACTTGTACATTCATTGACTCTCAGGGGTCTTCCCCTGTCCCTGCAGCCTGCCTAGGAAGAGTGAATAAAAGCTCTTCACAGAGATAGTCACTTGGGAAACATTTGGAAGGGGGAGCCACAGCTGGGAAGTGGGAGATGCAGCCATCAAGTATCAACTTTGCTCTAGGAGCTAATGAGAAAATAAACAACTATCAAGGGTGACGAGAAAATGGAGCAAGAGAGAGAAAGGCCAGGGCATGGAAGGGCAGAGAGGACAGAAAGAAGGACCTTCTCATTTTAGGAGGTGGAAGTAGTGGAGCAGTGTTTCTGTTGTCCATGAGAGACCATCTCCTAGCCATCTTTGCTGTATTTGCTATTATCCTACACACATGCATATGCTGTTTCATTTGCATATATTTACCCTCTCATTGAGTACTCATGCCCCCTTGTGAGGTGACCGGCCAGATCTAACTATCTTCTATTATAGACACCAAAGTCTAAGTCTGTCCAGGGTCACACCGCCCAAAGTGGCTGAGCTGGGCCTTGCATGGTGACGGGTGGCTTACTGCTCTTTCTGTGTCCTGTGGTGCTTCCCTGTGTCCCCTTCCCTGGGCCTTCATTTATGCTGGTGCTGGCATCTGAATGGTAACCTCCTAGGCACCTCCGTTTGTTTTACTTCTGTTGTCCTTCACGACCGGTTCATCAACACCTTCCTTTTGAAGGATATTCTGCTCTTCCCAACCAGAAGCATGCGCTTCACCCTCTGAACTTTCATAGCAATGGTCTGCATGTTCCCATGTTCTACTCTGTGTCAGTTACTTGGAGAAATGTACATTTCAGTGATTGGAGCTCCTGGGGTGCTGGGAGCATATTTCCTTCCTTCATCACTGCATCCTCTAGCACAGCTTCCTCAGCATTACAAACATGCCGCATGTCCTATTTTCTGAGTGAAAGCTCAGTGTATGAAGTTAAAAACAGACACAGCCCTTGCATAATTAAGAGTTTTCTAATGGATGAGATGACAGTGACATTAAATGAAATTTTGAAGAATCAGAGTGATAGTCCAACACCCTGAAATGATACTCTTTTTGTTTTGTAATTTTTACTGTCTTTGTTCATGCACCAGTATCTTTTTTACATACTTTCCATTTGGAACCTTATCATCATATACTTTTCTAACATGGTGTAATCTTTTTCTACACACAAAGTTTTCATAATTATAAATTTCAATGACTGCATGATACCCTATCTTATAGATTTTGGCATTGCATCTTATTACTATAATCTTTATTATAAGTACCTTTTCAATAGGCATTTTTTATTTATGTTATTTTTCTTTCCGTGTGTTGAATTTCTTCCCTAAGAGAAATTTCTAGGATGAGTTTTTAGAATTACTGAGTCAAGAAGGGCATAAACATTTTGTGTGTGTGTGTGTGTGTGTGTGTGTGTGTGCACCTCATAAGTCTTGCTATACTGCTTTCTAAAGATTTGCTGTGGGCCTGGAGTGGCAGTGGTCTCAGGGCAAGAAGTGAATTTGCCATCTGCTCTCTTGGTGTCTCCAGGTACAACATCCAGGAAAAGGACACCTTCTTTGATAATGCCACCCGCAGCCGCATTGTAAGTAAATAGATGTACTGTGTTAGGAAAGAGGATGGGGAAAGAGCTGAGTCCCTAGTTGGCAGGGCATTCTCTTACCCTCCCTGCCACCTCACACAGTTATTTGCTTGGAGTTGCCTAGCAACTGAGAAAAGTATGCAAGAGCTTCCCCATTCCCCAGAAGAAACAGCAAATAACTGCCCTCACTTGTGGTTTAAGGGGAGCGTCGTCTTCTCTTTATGGGTTCTCCGTTAAAGTTCTTCTTAGGAAAAAAACCAGGGAAGGTCATAGTTGCTGCAGGGGTTAGTTAGGTGAACCCCTTGATTTACATAGAGGAAACTGAGGCTCTGAGAAGCAATGCATTGAAAAAAAATTATATAGATCGTTAATGTCAGAACAAGGACTAGAACTAGTCCTTCTGATGGTTGGACCACTGTGTTTGTTTATGCATTTTCCCTTCTTTCAACTCCCATGGCAGAGTCATGTAAATTTGTATAACATGGAATGCTAGTTAACCCATTTGCCCAAGAATAATATCACCAGCCCATTCACTAGAAAGCCAACGCTCGTGACCATAGCTCTTCTTCCATAGTCCTTTTGCCTTTATGTCAAGTGTTTGAATTTTGTAGGATGATTGATTCTAATAAAAATCTGCATATGGCCTGTGTTTCTGTGGCCCCTGCATGAGCTGTAGAACATCTTCATTCACCGATCGGTTTATTCTCTATCACCCTAGAGGTCATGTAGCCTATGGGCACAAGACAGAAAGAGGGGCCCAAGGAATGCCAGAAACTTAACACATGCCCGCATGGGAAGTATGAAGTGCGTTTCCATTGATCCTTACCAAAGAACTGAAGTTTCCACAGGAGGAATGAGGGTTAGATACCTAGAAGGACCTCCCAGCTAATAGGGTGGTAAGAAAATACAGGAATAAGAAGGGACAGGTGATTAGAGGAGGCTAGGAGATTTCGCAGGCACACTGCAAACGTGGCATTAACTCTTACTTGCAGGATGGGCAAGGAAATCTCAGATCCCTTAGCCTAGTGTTTTAGGCAGAGTTAAAATGGGCATATGATTTCTTTTTTTCTTCCAATGGAAAAAGGCATTAATGTCCCATTTTCTTGGTTGATGCTATTACTACCCAATTAAATCTCACTGTGGCTTGGGTCCCACGACTGTGGGGGAGTTATAAGGTGTTGTGGAGATTACTCGATAATTGCAAAGTGCTTGTAAAATAATACAATGCCATATAAATGCTGTTCCTAATTATTATTGCTGTTGAATTACTGTACTATATTAGGAGCAGAATTAAACACTCTTGGACCCCATAGTTATTTACTTACCACTCCCTTTAGACTGTGGCTGGAATATACGAATGTAAATAATGATGGAATAACACATCTTCTAGCATTCATCTCTCCTTCTGGAAGCATCTTCCTTTCCTCAGTCTACTCCACACTGAGAACAGGGGAAAAGAGCCTTGAGTTTTGTCCTGAGATCTATTCTGCCCTGGACTTTGGCTGGAGGACCTCACCCTCATCTGTGGATGTCTCCCCTATGCCTGCTTCTTTGTGGGTGTCTGAGGACCTCAGCTTTTTGTTGCAAGGCAGACTTCATTGCTGGACATCTCTTTATAGACTGGCATAGGCTTGTCCCTCCCTGATTCTTTTGTGGGAAGCACCCCTTTCCTCCCATGTAAGAAACAGAGTCCCCTGCAGGTCCCATAGGCCAGAGGATTCTGTAGGCTGTTTTGGGCACGTAGGGCTTCAGGCAGGCAAAACCACTGAGTGGGCAGCTGCTGTGTGCCTAGGACGGTGCTCTAAGACATGAATCTTCAAGGAAGTATATGATATGCTCTGATCAGGGAGGCAAGATGAGGACCCAGGAAAAAACCACGAAATAAAGACATCAGTGACCGACATAGAGGTAGCTCCTTTGCTGTTTCAGAGTGTGCACGGCCTGGCTGGCCTCCCGAGCAGCTCCACTAGATGGCCCCATTACAGACGCAAGCTGACCCTCTGGACGTTTGCTCAGGACCCTCTGCACCCACGTCCGGAGCTCTCTGCTACCACACTGGTTCTCCCCGTCCGCCGAGCTCCAGGCTGGGGGAGGGGGCCTGCCCCTCCCCGGGACCCACCAGACAGAACCCTGCCTTTCCCGAGGTTCCCCGACGTGGGCGGCAGACGCCGTCCCCTACCCCACAGAGCCAGGGCTTCCTCCCGGCCCTCGCGAGGCTATGTGGTCCGGGGTGGGCTCCTCTGTTTTCCTTACCTCCTGTAACTGCAGTCCATTTCTAGCCTTTTATTCATTTGTTTTTCTCAGGGTGGGGCGAAGGGGCGGGGGATGTGTGCGCGGGGGGTTACATCCCTTGTTTCCTCAAAGCCCTCCAGTCTGAGTGGGGTTGACGTGCGGCCCATGAGCCAGGCACCTGCTTGGCTTAGCCCTCGCTGCAAAACGGGCCCGGGCGTCTCCCGCCCCTGCAAGGCGGTGGTGAGGGTGATGCACGGTGGAGGACGGGGGGAACGAGGCGCTCACAGCTCTGCTGTCGTCCCCTTTTAGGTGCACGAGATCCTGAAGCGCACAGCCTGCTCCCGAGCCAACAACACGATGGGTAAGGACCCCAGCCCGCCGGCAGGGTGCTGACGGGCGCTGAGGCGGCTCCTGCCCTGTGCTTTCAACAGCTGCCTTGGTGGGCAGCAAAGAACAAAGCAAACAAATGCCCCCTACGGAGAGGCTGCTTAGCTTAGGCTGAGAAGCCTGCCTTGGCCCCAGGAGCAGTGGGGGTCCCGTTTCTCAGTGGGGCTGCTCCCAGGCTGTTGTAGCTTCTCCCAGGCCTTCATCCCAGGTCTCCCGGCTTTCTCTTTCTCTTTTCCCCGTACCCCCCACACCTGCCACTGTATCCGGATAATTCTGCGGCTCCTCCTCTGTTTTTCAACATTTCGAATAGTTTTTAATAACCCAAGAAAAGCATCTTAGAGGTCGTTTAGTCCAACCTCCTCATATTATGTAAGAAGAGATGAACCGCCAGAGAGGGTGCATAACTGCCCTAAGCCCACACAGCGCGTGATGGCTAAGTCTGAGTGAGCCTCAGCATTCTTCTCACCGTATCTGGCTGAATCTGTTTGCCCTGTGGTTTGTTTCTTAAATATTAGGGTAATTGTCTTGGATGCATTTGGGACCAAGTATAAGGCAGGCAGTATAAGGCAGGCCGTCCAGATCGTGACGGATTGTGTGGAAGACATCTGTGACGGCCCAGGTACAATGTGAGCTGTGCTGGTAACCCCCGAGACTGCTTTTTGGAGAAATGTGCCAAAACGTCACACACAAACACTTCTGCACAGGAGTCATTCTTGCATGTTGAACCCTTGTTCCCAAGGTGCTGCCATCTCCAAGCGGCTTCTGACAGCTTTGGGAGAGCCGCCTTCAGAATGCGCTTTGGGATGGCAAATGTTTGGCTTTTGAGGCAGCTTTAGGTTGAAAAGAGTTCAAAGTCATTTGGAGTCCTGTCTACTGAATAGAGGAGGTGATCAGGCTCAGGAATGACAACGATAATGATGATGTTAGCTAGCTAGTATTTGAGAGCGTGTTGTGGGGCTTGAGAGTGTGCCTGGGTACCCAGGGCACAGTGCTGGAGAAGGAATCTGAATGGGTGTTATGCCATGATAGTCTTTTTAGAATAGTGCTTAACCTCTCAACAGGGCAATTATGTTTGCTTACGTTTGCTTTGATATATTCATCTTGCTACAAGATTCCAAATAACAATGCACTTTTTAAACTCAGACCTTCCATGTTATGTTATTTGTCCGGAACACGGTGCTGATGAGGCGAGGCTGAGTAAGTGGGTGAGGGAATTAGCCTAAAAAACGGAGAAATGTTATATAGATATAAAATATATATATATAAAATATATTACATATATTATATATATATAAAATTTATATATTTATTAAGCATTAGCCCCTGACTCAAATGTTAATCTCCTTTGGCAACACCCTCACAGACACACCCAGGATCAATACTCTGTATCCTTCAATCCAATCAAGTTGGCACTCAGTATTAACCATCACAAGTCCACCCACTGTCAACCTGAACCCATACGCATCTCCTGAGATCATACATAATCTTCAAATAAAGGCAATAATAAGGTCATAATTACGCCTAACATAATACAACTATCCTTCATACAACCGGAAATGCACCAATCCCCAATCCAAATACTATTACGTAAAATTAACACTACCCAAATGCTGATATGAGGTCAATAAACCTTATGTCACTTGATAAAGGAAAAAGGAAATGAAGTTATTTCTTAGTGCAAGTGTATACATGCACAAACATGTTGTTAGCAAAAGAAGGAGGAAATACTCATGACAATTACAGTCCTCGTTTCTGCAGCTGGTCATGTGGTCATAGCTGGTATTGATGAGTACCTTCTTCTACTAAACATTCTGTATTCCCTTTGCCTTCAGCAAGCACCTCAGCAGGTCATGGTTTTTTTCCTGGTGGAGTGACCCAAACCGTTCCTGAGGGGCCTGGGCCATTTGCAGTCCTGCCTGGATTGGGCTGTTGTTGTTTCCCATTGACCTTAATCACAGGGCATGGTAATACTAAGAAACGCCCTAATGGATCTCCTGTCTTCCATGCGTACTGTTCCTTACATCTGTTGTGGAGTAGTAGACTGATTTCATCATGATAGTCTGGGTCAGTCACCCCAGCCAACACTGTAATTCCCTCCTTAGCGTGTCACCTTAAAGGTAGGAGGAGCCCGAAGTGGCCAGGTGGCAATCTTAACTTCTAGTTTAATAGAATTATTGTGTTTCCTGGTGACATCATTCCTCCCTCTGAAACTAAGATGTCTAGGCCAGCGGAACGTAATGCTGTGGGAACAGGAAGCAGAAATTTTGCTAGTGGATCACTAGGGGTGATGGTGAGTGGTGCCACTTCCACTTCAGTGCCTTGATTCCTGGACCTGTAAATCCTGGCTATGGGAGAAACAGTACCGTTTATTGGATGCTGATTCAGAGCACACATGGCCTTCTGGGGAACTTTGTCCCAGTCCAGCAAAGTATTGTCACCTAGTTAGTGTTGTAATTGTGACTTCAAAAGGCCATTCCACCGTTCTGTCAATCCAGCTGCTTCAGGATGATGGGGAACATGGTAAGACCAGTAAATTCCACGAGCATGAGTCCACTGCCACACTTCTTTAGCTGTAAAGTGAGTGCCTTGGTCAGAGGCAATGCTGTGTGGAATACCATGATGGTGGATAAGATATTCTGTGAGTCCACGGATGGTAGTTGATATGGTTTGACTGTGTCCCCTCGCCAAATCTCAACTTGAATTGTATCTCCCAGAATTCCCACGTGTTGTGGGAGGCACCCAGGGGGAGGTAATTCAATCATGGGGGCTGTTCTTTCCCGTGCTATTCTTGTGATAGTGAATAAGACTCACGAGATCTGATGGGTTTATCAGGGGTTTCCACTTCTGCTTCTTCCTCATTCTCGCTTGCTGTCACCATGTAAGAAGAGCCTTTCACCTCCCACCATGATTCTGAGGCCTCCCAGCCACGTGGAACTGTAAGTCCTTTTTCTTCCCAGTCTCGGGTATATCTTTATCAGCAGCATTACTTTCCCAGTCTACACCAATGGCCTTGTGGGGAGCTCCCCATGTAATGCTTATTACAGTAAATTGGTACCAATAGAGTGGGGCGTTGCTGAAAAGATACCCGAAAAATGTGGACGCAACATTGGAACTGGGTAATAGGCAGAGGTTGGAATAGTTTGGAGGGTTCAGAAGAAGACAGGAAAATGTGGGAAAGTTTGGAACTTCCTAGAGACTTGTTGAATGGCTTTGCTCAAAATGCTGATAACAATATGGACAATAAGGTCCAGGCTGCAGTGGTCTCAGATGGAGGTGAGGAACTTGTTGGGAACTGGTGTGAAGGTGACTCTTGTTATGTTTTAGCAAAGAGACTGGTGGCATTTTGCCCCTGCCCTAGATATTTGTAGAACTATGAACTTGACAAAGATGATTTAGGGTATATGGCAGAAGAAATTTCTAAGCAGCAAAACATTCAAGAGGTGACTTGGGTGCTGTTAAAAGCATTCAGTTTTATAAGGGAAGCAGAACATAAAAGTTTGGAAAATTTGCAGCCTGACTATATGATAGAAAAGAAAAATCCATTTTTCTTGGGACAAATTCAAACTGGCTACAGAAATTTGCATAAGTAGCAAAGAGCCTAATGTTAATCACCAAGACCATGGGGAAAATGTCTCCAGGCCATGTCAGGGACCTTCACGGCAGCGTCTCCCATCACAGACCCAGAGGCTCAGGAGGAAAAAATGGTTTCATGGGCTGGGCCCAGGGTCCCTGTACTGTGTGCAGCCTAGGGACTTGGTGCCCTGTGTTCCAGCCGCTCCAGCTGTGGCTGAAAGGGGCCAATATACAGCTCAGGCTGTGGCTTCAGAGGGTGGAAACCCCAAGCCTTGGCAGCTTCCATGTGATGTTGAGCCTGTGGGTGCACAGAAGTCAAGAATTGAGGTTTGGGAACCTCTGCCTGGATTTCAGAAGATGTATGGAAGTGCCTGGATGTGCAGGCAAAAGTTTGCTGCAGGGGTGGGGCCCTCATGGAGAACCTCTGCTAGGGCAGTGTGGAGGGGAATTGTGGGGTTGAAGCTCCCACACAGAGTCCCTACTGGGGCACTGCCTAGTGGAGCTATGAGAAGAGGGCCACCCTCCTCCAGAACCCAGAATAGTAGATCCACTGACAGCTTACACTGTGTGCCTGGAAAAGCTGCAGACACTCAATGCCAGTCCATGAAAGCAGCCAGGAGGGAGGCTGCACCCTGCGAAGCCACAGGGGTGTAACTGCCTAAGACCATGGGAACCAACCTCTTGCATCAGTGTGACCCAGAGTCAAAGGAGATCATTTTGGAGCTTTAAAATTTTACTGCCCTACTTGATTTCGGATTTGCATGGGCCCTGCAACCCCTTTGTTTTGGCCAATTTCTCCCATGTGGAATGGCTGTATTTACCTAATACCTATACCCCATTGTATCTTGGAAGCAACTAGCGTGCTTTTGATTTTTACAGGCTCGTAGGCGGAAGGGACTTGCCTTGTCTCAGATGAGACTTTGGACTGTGGACTTTTGGGCTAATGCTGAAATGAGTTAAGACTTTGGAGGACTGTTGGGAAGGCATGATTGATTTTGAAATGTGAGGACATGAGATTTGGAGGGGCCAGGGGTGGAATGATATGGTTTGGCTGTGTCCCCCTGCAAATCTCAACTTGAATTATATCTCCCAGAATTCCCATGTGTTGTGGGAGGTACCCAGGGTGGGTAATTGAATCATGAGGGCTGTTCTTCCGCATGCTATTCTCGTGATAGTGAATAAGTCTCATCAGATCTGATGGGTTTATCAGGGGCTTCTGCTTTTGTTTCTTCCTCTTTCTCTCTTGCCACTGCCATGTAAGAAATGCCACCCTCCATGATTCTGAGGCCTCCCCAACCACGTGGAACTGTAAGTCTAATTAAACCTCTTTTTCTTCCCAGTCTCAGGTAGGTCTTTATCAGCAGTGTGTAAATGGACTAATACAGTAGTCTTGGCAGAAGC